CCCCCCCCCCAAGGCACCTGTGGAAGCAACTAATCAATGTATCTCTCTCACACCATGTTTTCTCCCTCTCCCCTCCCCCCTTCCTTCCACTGTCCCTGAAAAGCAATGGAAAAAATATCCTCAGGTGAGGATTAACAAAAAAATTAAAAAGAAATAGGGACAGGCAAGCTACTCAAAGGCACAGGAAGAGAGAAGCTTAAAAGAAAAAGAGGAAGAAAAAATTATGAAAGAGACTGTAATATGCAAAAAGAATAAAGACCAGCCCTGGCTGGTGTGGCTCAGTTGGTTGGAGCATTGTCCAGTGCACCAGAAGGTTGTGAGTTTGATTCCTGATCTGGGCACATACCCTGGTTGCAGTTTCCATACCTGGTTGGGGCATGTGCAGGAGGCAACCGATTGATGTTTCTCACATCTCTCTCTCTCTCTCTCTCTCCTAAAATAAATTTTTTTAAAAAGAATAAAGACTAGGGTATGTTTAAAAACCCAGAACTAATGATGGTTGAGAGATACCCACTTGGAGAGATGGGGCTGGGTGTGAAAGACAGGCTTTTACTGTGAGTGGTGTTTATAATGTATACCTCCTGTGGGATCTCTCCAGCCAGGGCCACCCTCTGTCTTGCCAGCCAATGGCTCCTGCCCTCCACAGTGCCCTCTGCCCACACCGCCCCAGGCCTGGAAGGAGCCTCAGTGGGTGGGAGACACTGCAGGGATTCTTTGTCCAGAATAAGGGCCCATTGTCTGGCTCCAGCCTGTTGGGAGTGGGGCCTCACACAGCTGGGGTAGAAAGGGGGTAGGAGTAAAAAAAAAAAAAAAAGGCAGACAAGAACCAGTGAGGGAGAGGGAAAAGAAGGGAGGGGGCCTCAGGGGCTGTGGAAGGTTGAGCAACAAGCATAATCTAGTCAAAAGGCCAATCAGGGGGGAAGGGTAATAGACTAAGGGCAGGACAATGCAGTTCTACTGTTGATCCTGTCCCTGGTTCACCTGCATGGTCACTGCTCTCTATGCTTGCTGTAATAATGCAAGCTTTAGCCTGTTTACAGAGCTGTGGAGAGGACCCATTGAGATGATGACTGGGAACCTGAAGAGGTTATCAAGCATGGTTTTTACAGGAGAGATGTTTTGGAGTCCAAGTGAACCTCAAGAAAGAAAAGTTCACAAGAGCCTTCAGAAGAGGAGTCTGAGGTCCATATTGAAGCCTTCTCAGTTATGGTAAATGTCACAAAGGCTCACATGCCATTCACCAAAGCATGCCTTATGACTAATGCATGGGTGATAAAAATGTCTGGGATCCACATATAATTTACAGGAGATATTTGTGGTTCATGCAGGTTCTACAGTAAATGTTTGTGTTCCCATCTGATGACCACAGATGACTGTTCCCCAATCAGGAGAATCAGAAGGGCCACCTATTTGGTTAAAAACAGAGGCAGGAAAAGTGCCCAGGTCCAAGGTCAGAAGTCCATCTTTGTTTTTTTTTTTGTTTGTTTGTTTGTTGTTGTTTTTTAGAAGTCCATCTTTGTCTCAGTGTATTGCACCTTGGGAATTTGAGTAAATGGAAGGGAACAATACTTCAGTAATGACAATTATTTAAACAAACTTTTATTCAAGCATTTGCTGATGACCTACTGTGAGAAATAGCATAGTGCAGTTGTTAAGAATATGGATGTAAAAGGCAGACTGCCTGAACTTTCCCATCTGTGTGAGATATTCACCCTTATTGAATCTTAGTTTTCCACATCTGTAAAATAAGGATGATGATAATAGGACGTTGCTGTGTCTTAGAGTTCCTGTGAGGATAAAATGAATTAACACATGTAGATATGTGTAACCCATGGGACAGTGCCTGGTACACAATAAGTGTTAATAAGTAATAGTTCAGAGATTCCAAGATGGTGGTGAATTAAATGGAAGCTAATTCCAGGACCAAACTGGAATTCTCCCAGGACCAAACTGGAATTACAACTAAAATATAGAAAAATCATCCCTAATGACCAATTGAAGACTAGCTGGAGTGCACCCTCATAACCAAGGATGAAAAGTGGAGATGGCATATAGACTGGTAGGAAGGCACAAGTCACAGAGGGTTGGCTGGGCTCCCACAGGCAGCAGCTGAAGTTCTGGAGAGATATCTCAGCTGTGTGTGGGGGGGTTCCCCCTGAGAAGTCTGGAGTCTAAGCCCCAAGCTGGGCTCCCCAGCCCAGAGCACCAGAACTAAGGAAGAGTACACATAACATCGGATTGTGAAAAGCTACAGGGTTTCTGTCTGCCGGGAGACACGGCTGGAAATGCAAGCACCCTCTTAAAGAGTCAACAAAGAAAATTTCGTATGCAGCCACTCACCTTGGACTCCGGCAGAGGGAGGGCAGAGTGGACTATAACCCTGTGAGGGGAATCCAAGGTTGGTAGCTCTTGGGATAGAGCTCAGAGGGCAGCCACCTGGATCCCTATACTGAGTCATTCCTCCATACTGCAGAGGACATCTTTCTCAAGCAGACTTTTACCATCCAGGCAGCTTTTGCCTGGGGGGTGGGGGGAGCAATTGCTCCATCCATTGGAAAACCTCTCACCCCACCCTGTGCAATTTACACCTTGCTGTGATCTACAGCCTGAGGCTCATTAAGTCACTGAGAATAACAGGCAGATCTCTGGGTGCTTTGAGTTTTTGCCTGATATGCTTCTGGACCTGGGGCTAGGAAAAGCAGACCTTGGTGCACATCTTGGTCCTTTCCAAATGATCCTAGCCCCAGCAGAGGGAGCTACAAGCTTATAGCTACAAACAAGGTACTCAGTGCCAGTCATAAACAGCATCTGGCATTGGCCTGCACAAGAGACCCTCCAAAAAGACTGGGAGTCATAACAGATCTACCTAATACATAGAAACAAACCCAAATAGGCAACCAAAATGGGGAGAAAAGAAACCAAGCCCCAAATGAAAGAACAAGAGGATTCTCCAGAAGAAAAGCTAAATGAAATGGAAATAAATATTTTATCAGATACAGAGTTCAGAGTAATGATTATAAGGATGCTCAATAGCATGAAAAAATATATAGAAACAATGAAAAACAATCAGTTGGAAATGAAGACTGACACAGAAGAAATAAAGAATACACTGGAAAGAATAAACAGCAGATTAGAGGAAACTGAGGAATGGATCCGCAAATTATAAGACAGGGTAAAAAAAAAAAAAATCATTCAATCAGAGAACCAAAAAGAAAAAAAATTTAAAAACTGGAGGACAATTTAAGGAAGCCATGGGACAACATGAAATGTAACAATATCCGCATCATAAGAGTACCAGAAGGAGAAGAAATTGAACAAGGGATAGAGCACCTGTTTGAAGAAATAATGATACATTTACACAATAGAATACTATGTAGCTGTAAAAAAAGAAGGACCTCTAATCCTTTGAAACAGCATGGAGAGACCTGGAGGGTATTATGCTAAGTGAAATAAACCAGTCAGAGAAAGGCAAGTATCACAGATCTCACTTATATATGGAATATAATGAACAAAATAAACTGATGAACAAAATAGATCCAGAGACATGGAAGCATGCAACAGACTGACAAACCTCAGAGGGAAAGGGGGAGGAGGGGTCAGAAAGAGATTAACCAAAGAACTTTTATGCATATATCCATAACCTATGTACACAGACAACAGTGCAAAAGGCCTGGGGGTGGTGGTGCGGGTATGGGGTGGAGGAGGTCAAAGGAGGACATATGTCATACTTTGAACAA